ATAATTGATTGTAATTTACTACGTTTTGATTTATTTTTGATTCATTATAGCCTTGGGTAGAATGGTTTTCTTCACAAGTCATGAAAACTCCACTCAGGCAATTTCCTGAGCACAAAAGATCATTTCTTCCATCAAAGAGTGAAGCTCAAAAAGTTTCAAAACTGGTTCATGCTTTGAAAATGGGATGGATTAAGTCGTCAGCTCAGTTGAGGAAAGAAAGAGCAGAGAATAATCCAAATGAGCAACAGTTTTACATGCTATGGAAAACTGATGATCAAGCAGAAGAAATGAGAAGAATTCAAAAGCACATTCCAGCACCAAAAAGATTTTTACCTGGACACGCTGAGAGCTACAATCCTCCTACTGAGTATTTGTTTGATAATCGAGAGATAAAAGAATGGCACAAACTTAAATCACAACCTCATAAAAGGAAGCTTCATTTTGTTCCTCAAAAATACGATGCGCTGAGAAATGTACCTTCTTACCCCCGGTATATTAAGGAAAGATTTCAAAGATGTTTGGATCTGTTTTTGTGTCCAAGAGCTATAAAAATGAAGTTGACTATTGAACCAGAGGAACTAGTTCCTCAATTGCCAAGTCCCAAAGATTTACAGCCATTCCCAACCACTCAATCCATTATTTATAAGGGGCATACAGATATGGTGAGATGTATGACTGTAGAAGCATCTGGTCAATACCTTGCTACTGGAGGTGATGATAATACTTTAAGAGGTAAGGGTTTCTACATCTTTATTATAAAAGCAAAAAGTTGTTCAAGTATCACTTTTTTGATTCATTCTCAATTAAATTGATTATTCAATTAAATTTAATTTTCAGTGTGGGAAGTATCAACTGGAAGATGTTTGAAAGTAGTGGATTGTGGCGGAGTAGTAAGAAGTGTTGCCTGGTGTCCAAATCAAAATTTACCCTTAATTGCTGTAGCAGCAGATGAGCAGGTACTGCTGATTAATTCTGGCGTTGGAGATCATTTGATTGCAAAGAAAGCAGACAAGCTTTTAGAAATTATTCCTGAAACTGATTCTATAGGTAATATGAGTTGTACTGTTTATTTCAAATATTAATTTCAAACATAATCAGATTATTTAATGCTGAGATAATATTTTACAGTTTCTGAAAGAGTTAAAGCTGCTGTACAGTGGCAGCAAATCACTGAAATAGATAATCCAGACCAATGGAAAAAAGGTATAAGAATTGTTTTGAAACATTTCAAAACTGTGAAACAAGTGACCTGGCATGGCAAAGGTGACTACTTCTCTACAGTTATGCCAGATGGTCAAAATAGATCAATTCTCATTCATCAGCTGTCAAAGAGAAAATCATTCATTCCTATTGGTAGACCAAGAGGACAAGTTCAATGTGTACTGTTCCATCCAATCAAACCATTTTTCTTTGTGGCCGTAAGTGTCAATCCATGTTTATTGCATTTTACTACTATTTTCATCAACATATAATTACGATTCTACAATTTAAAATTTTTAGACTCAAAGACATATCAGAATTTATGATCTTACTCAGCAAGAAATGATAAAAAAACTCTTGACAGGATCTCAGTGGATTTCTTCCATGTCCATACATCCAGGTATGAAAATAATTACAAGGAAAATAAATATTATAATTATAATAAAATTTACATTACATTCATATTTATTGATCAGGTGGTGACAATTTAATTGTTGGGACATACGATAAAAAATTGCTGTGGTTCGATTTAGATTTGAGCACAAAGCCATATCAAACACTTCGTCTCCATGGTACAGGAATTCGAGGAGTAGCATATCACAAACGATATCCTCTGTTTGCTTCAGGGTCAGATG